TACCTACTTGATTAAATATATATATATATACATATATATATATTTGAACAGGTAGTGACATTAAAATTGCATTATGATGGTAAGGTAGATATATACTGTATCATACGTGATACAGCCTAGATACATTTATTCACGATGGACAATAGTAAACCTATAAATTATGAATTTAAGAAACAACAGTTGTTAAAAGAACAGGTTAAGTTTTAACTGTATGGTAGCAACATGTCTAAAAAATGAAGTTGAGATAGGCTCATGTGAAACATTCCTTTTTTTAACACCTCTAGGACCTGAGGAGAGCAGTTGCTGTAGATTTGGGGATTGTCTTATTCTTGTCTGATGTAGGATTCAAGCTGTTCCACAGTCCTGGATCTTCTTTGCTATTTCCCTCTCTGAATGGGAGGATATGTTTTTTAAAAACCTGTATATACTTTTCTGCATTGATGGTGTCTCTACAGACAGCTGTAAGCTGCCCTTGCCAGAGGCACCAATGCACCCCCATACAATCAGAGAGGAAAGCTTGTGACCTGTGTGCTTATAGAGAGTCAATGGTTCTTCTCCTCTTTAGTGCAGAAGAAATGATGTGCATGTTAAAATAATTCAGTTCAATTCTGTTTATTTATGCAGACAAGTCACAACAGAAGTAATCTCAGGGCACTGAACAGAAACATTCATATATAAAAATAATAATTTAACAATATTTATCTGAGGAACAGACTGCTTTGAATTTAACTCCATCACAGAACTCTCATCTTGAGCAACTATGAAGGTGACAGTGGAAAGGAAAAACTCCCTCATGAGGAAGAAACCTTTAGCAGAACCAGACTCAGGACAAGCGGCCATTTGTTTCGGCTGGCTGGGTTTGAGAGGAACAGATAAACAAGGGCAGGTCAAGAATCACATGCTAGGATAGAAATAGTATCAAATTAAAACTATTCAATTTTAGCAAATCATTTAAGGAAATGAGGTCAATTTGTCCTCAGTAAATTCAACAAATTCAAATTGTGAGTAGACCACAGCATTTTCCTACTTGACCTCAATTGATTTTAAAAGAGCTTTGGCTCAAAGAAGACAGCAGCGTTTTGGGATAGTCGTCATAAAATGTGTGTTTATGAACTTTGCTAATTATTGCATTCAGTTGTATTTATATTTTTGGTACAACACATTTTTGAGGACTTGGGGGTGTACATTAAATACCTAATTATCATTTTTTTATGGAATTTGGAGGGACTTCTGTTTCTTTCTACCTTTTGGATCTGGGTTCAATTGTGTGTTTTCTCTACACAACGTAAGTATTTACCTTTGGTACCAGATCTAGTGAGGCTGTCAATTCTTTGCTCATCATGTTTAAGGGATCCTTGCCTCCCATATTTCTATGCTGTGTTAATGGCATAGAATGAATGAACCCTGTTTTATTTATCTTGCTTTACACTCTCCTTGTGTGGGATGCCTTTTAAAATAACCTTTCTCTTGTATCTCCTCCATCTTATTCCTTTCCTTTTACCCCTCACTCCCTCCTGTGCTACTTTTGTCCATCATCCTTTGGAAATGCATTCCCTCCTCTGATGCCTCTAATCTTAACAAAATTCTCCTTCAAAAACCATCTCTGTCTCTTGCCTTCTTCCTTTTCTTGTTCCCTCCTTCATCTCCATCTTCATGGCTACCTGGCGCCCCTAGTGGTCGTATCCATTACACTGACATGTATGAGATGTTGACCAACATGTCGCCACCTCTAGGCCTGGGCAAGAAATGCCCCTCCAAGGTGGCATATAAGGTAGACTGAGCACCAAAGACAGGCACTGCCATGTATTTTAATGAACACTGAGATAAGCAATGCAAAACGTCATTCTGTGTGTATTTATTAGATAAACAAATCATCGTTTGTGTTGACTACATGAAGCAAAATTGCTTGTTGAAGTATTTGTCCATTGGCAGATACTGAGTGCTACTGCAATCATTTGCCTGTTTGCTTTGCATCTTGGCAGAAAACTAAGACATATTTATCTGTTTGCTGATGGAAAACCGTCACTATCGCTGCTTTAATAATAAGGCAGTGTAAAGAAATAATAAATAAAACGTTGCTAAACATCTACATGCTAGATATGATCTGTTGTCAGTTGAATTATCACCCGTTGTACTTACTTCCCATCTGCATGTGCACGCCGCCACAAATCTGTGCTGTGCCAGTGTTTTGGTTTTGTGCTTTTTGTGCACATCGTGTTTAGGTGTTTGCAAGCTGGTTTGCAAGCATCCTCAACTAGAAATATTAGTCTTTAGACCTAAACTTTAAAAAAAAAACTGAATATACTACACAGACGGGCAAGATGGGAGATGATAAATTTCCTCATTTGAACATTTAAATTGCTTTTTGAGACTGTAGCTTTTTATGTACAAAAAGCTTCTCTTATAATTACGGTACCTAAATCATTCATTTATCCAAGGAAATAAAGGGCTTGCCCGCTTTGCCCATCTGTATTCATCACTGTAGTTAAATTTTGCAGATGATTTTATTTTAACAAAGTCATAAAGCTACTTGCAAACTGAGCTGCAGGAAATGATGTGAATCATGTGGTTACACATAATTCTTTTAAGATGGTTGCCTTGAAATCATAATTGAATTAGTTCATATGTTTGTGACATTTGGTTTTTCAGTTTGACATCTGAATCAAATTAGCTCAACGAAGTTAAATATCCTTGAGCAAAGTTTTTGTTACATGTAAAACAAGAGGCTTTGGAAAACTAGAGTACCGATAACTATGCTTGTGGTAACGATAAACTGATGCTGTCCTTGTCCTCATCAGAGACTCGTCCTTATGAACATGCCTGTGGATGATGAAATGACCGTTCACTTCACGTCCACCCTCATGGCCCTCATCCGCACCGCCCTCGAGGTCAAAATAGCGAGAGGTCGGACAAAACTCGACGGTGTATTTGTTGTGATCTAAAGCTGAAAACTCACTCTGTACTGCAAGCGCGATAACATGAGTTTTATTCATTTATTTGTTTTAATTCTAGGAGGAGAAGATCGAAATCAAATGGATTTGGATCTGCAGAAGGAGATCGGTGTTATCTGGCCTCATCTGTCTCAGAAGAATCTGGACCTGCTGGTTCCAATCCACAAAGGTGAAAATAATAAAATAAAAAATCATCATCTTGGCTACTGGTAAATCATGAATAAAACACCAACTGTGTATTTTTTACCATCCAAGTGCTATGAGTAGTAAAAGAGAGTTTATAATTGAGCTTCGGATGGTTTCTGTTTGTTCCTTCGCAGCCAGCGACATGACGATTGGGAAGATCTACGCCGCCATGATGATTATGGATTACTACAAGCAGAGCAAAGCCAAAAAGCTGCGACAGCAACTGGAAGAACAAGTATTTTTCTTTGTTCTCATTCTCGGTTTTGATGCATTCTTTTTGTATAAATTTGTATGTGTGTCATGTAAAATGTTTATTTCATTCTCCTAAACCAGAGCTCATATCATTTTAGATGTTTCTCTTTTAGGATAAATGTTTGTATGTAATGTGAATGCTTTTATTTGAACTATTTAAAATTGAATAAAAGTGAATTTACTAGACATTATGACTACAATCAAGATCACTCCTGTCATTTCAGGTTTGTTTGTTTTTTTGGGGGGGCCTCTAGAACAAGTGTTCTCAAACTTTTGGGGTTCAGGGTCCCTTTACAGTGGAGAAAAAGTTTCATGGACCCCCTCATAACCCTCATGTTTATTAAATGATTTTCCTCAATTTGTCTCTTTAATGCAAGGGAAATATTTGTGTAACAAAAATACATGAGGCTTGTTCTTTAATAGTGTTAATACAATTTTTATACTTTTAAACATGGGGTAATTTTCATTCAAGACACAGTTAACTTTTTTTTTTATTTCAATAATACATTTTTGAAAAAATTAACAGTATTAAAAACCACTTTAAATTTTTACTTATTCATATAATGAACATAAATGTATTGTCACTTCTTCTAATTATTAAAACTCTTTACATAAAACTGAACAGAATCAAAACAGCAGTAGTCATACCAAGGCTTAATTTGTAAACCAATCGATGACGGAATGCAAATAGCAGGCAGACCAGCAGGGGGCGGGGTCCTTCCCCAGTAAATTTTAAATAAAGTAGTTATGATTCCCTGCATTTTGTTGTATTTTAACAAGTTGTTAAACATCCATGTGCTTGTAAAAAATATTTTTTTTTTTTTTTTTTTGCGGACCCCCAAGCACCGGCTCATGGACCCCCCAGGGGTCCGGGAACCTCAGTTTGAGAACCACTGCGCTATAAATAATATTAAAGAATTAAATAGGTTTATTTCCCCAAAGCTCATTTGTAATTAACCTTGATGAACTCAGCAGCTTGAACAAATGAGACAGGAGCATACAGTGTTTATCAAAGCCTTCACTGAGCACACTTGTAAATAATTGAATTTTCTTTCATGTATTTTTTGTCTGCACAGAAACATGCTCCCATGTTCCAGCGTATGGATGCTTCCTCTCTCCCTCAAGAAATATTATGCAATGCCAAATCCCTGTCATTCCTCAGGCACAGCGCTGGATCTGCTCTGTAAATAACTTCTAATCTGCTCGTAAACATTTTCTCTTGCTGCGGATGTGTTTCTTCTCCATAGCTGTCCTGACGATTTTTTTCCATGTTTTTTCAGCACAAGAGGCGGTTTTGTGGCGCTCAGCCCCATTTCTCCACAGGAGATGTTCCTGCAGCCGATGTCTCGCTCCAGAGACGAGAGGGAGGAGGAGGAAGAATATCACTCACCTTATCTCCCTTACCATACACACCACCACCACCAGCATCATTTACACACACTGGTGAGTGCTTTAAAGTACACAAGTTTACAAAATGTTAAGACTGTTTTGCATATTTTGATTACAAATTCAATTCACAACTCTGTTTTAATTGATGTTAGTTATTTATTCCGGTATCATCATGCATCATCGTGTTGCACTGATCCATAGGTTTTGGAAGTACGTCAGAGTTGCAGCATTCCTGTTTCGATTGTTGAGCTTCAGAATACAAAATGATTTTCCTCCATGGTGTGTGTGCAGGTGCCAGAGGTCGTGAAGTACAACCAAGTGATGCAGCAGGCCCATCAGGACCCGGCAGTTATTAAATCTCCTCAACGCACTTCATCGATCAGAGCATCCTCCATGCCCAGACTGGCTGTTGACCCACAGGTAATGAAAAGTAACACATTTTTTATCCTTTATCCAGTGCTCAGCAAATGTGACAATCAAAAGCACTCTGTTTATTCATGTTTTGTCATCTGACTGAACTAAAAGAAATATATTTCTTAATATAATATAATATTTTTTGGTAAAAGAAATATACCTGCAAACTGAAACACACCGCTTTGAGAAACTTTGTGTCCTCCTCGTCAGACGCTACTCATAGTTATTTAAAAGATTGATTTACTGGTTGTTTTGCATGCATGCAGCCGGGGCTATCAGCAGAGAGCAAGCTGATGAAACGCTCCTTCTCCACCATCGGAGATCAGTGCGTGAACGGCCTCTGGCAGGAGCAGCACTCTCTGGAGAGGATCAGTCCTGATGACACGTTCAAAACCCGGCAGAGAAGCTACCGAGGTGACATAAACACATAAACGCCTTTACTGGTTTTATCATTTTAGGAAGTGTCTTGTTCTGAAAAAAACAAACAAACAAAAAACATATTTAACAAAAAATGCATAATAAATAAAAACAAGGAATTAAATGGGCAGAATACATAAATTCAGCTATTTTAACATCAAAACTAGGATACTCAACAAAGCTAAGTCAGGTCCTCTGGACGGTTTCTTCTTGTTGAAACGTTTCGTCCTTCATCCAAAAGACCATCAGTCCGAGGAGCCACAACAAACTCAGTCTTATAAACAGCACCTTCACATAGTGGATCAACCAGTTTGATGGTGCTCAGATGGTTTCTGGAGCCTGCCCTCTCCCCTGCAGACTCATTTGAGGCAGTCATAGCCAAAGTGGTTCAAAATATCTAAGTTCATGGTTTTTATAAATCTCTCTCTTTATAAGACTGAGTTTGTTGCGGCTCCTCCGACTGATGAAGTCTTTTGAATGAAAGATGAAATGTTTCAACAACTCTGAGGAGCAAAGCCGAGAGCCTTCGTACGAGAGGGGACGATCATGCTCGTCCAGTGAAGGACACACACCTGGTGCACAAA